TGGCAGAGACATAACAAAGATTCTAACGTAAGAATATTAAATGACCACGGTGTTCCATTTTGGTTGGGAGAAGAATGAGGCAATCTTTGAGAAGAGATTTGCCCTTGAATAAGGCTGCTTAGGAAATGTAAACAATTGGATGCATCTTCAACAAAAAGATTCATTGCTAGCAACAACAGCAGCAACTTCTTCCTCAGACGATGTCACCTTGTAACTCGTAACCCTCCACATGGCATGCACCACCAATCCAACATTTGCTTACATTGTTCCTCTGTTGGCCACGTTTTAGACCAACTATATTTTATTCTCAAATTCAACATCTTTCTCTTTCTTCATCTTCAAAGTCTTTCGTCTCAGATCTCTGGTTTAAAATAAAGTATATTGGAGTATTAATATACATAATTATGCATGTGAAGCATAATTCAAACAACTTGAACATATAGTAAGAATTGTTTGAAAGTCTATTGAAGTTCTTCAAACTTTCTCACACGAGAAAACATTTTGGATTCAATATGGATCTCAGCAACAGATTGCAAAATCACCAAAGAACCTAACCTGCAACCTTTTGCTTTCATATATGACTTTTTTAGGAGAACAACTTGATCAAAGGTTCCAGTTTACCAAGTTTTTTCTGGATTCCTTAGATTGTATACACATATTATAAGTACAAAAAGAAAAAGGTAGTAAAGTTATATACATACGCGGCAAACATTTACATGGAGAACAGAAAAAGTGAGAGAGAGACACTTGACAAAATAATTCTTGAACAAAGTATCCAACAGTTCAGGTTCATGATATTTCTCTTCTTTAATTACAATCAATAAAGCTTGTCGTGGATCTAAACCTAAGTGTTAAGAAAGTTCAGTTTAAAAAGAAAACTATGTTGAAACAACTCAATTGGTAACAACGCAAAATCATTATATATAGTAAAAATAAGGTCTAGAAGAGTATATACACCCTATATATGGAAGATAATTTCGTTGTATAAATCTAATTTAAACATTTACTACGTATTCATAGAACAAGATATTATTTTTCTTTTGGGATCACAAAAATTAAACTTGTACGTAGCTTAGTTTATCTAAAAAATTTAACAAGGATTTAGAATGTAATAAGCAAAGATGTCAACTTATTTCTTTATAATGATACAAGTTTAAAGATAATTTTCTTTTCTCTTATTTTATCGAAATATTTTTAAATTATATTGAATTTTAAAATTATTTTGTTCATGAGTTTTGTTTTACCGTAAACAAAAGGAATACTTACCACTATATTAAAACATCTTTAAAGGGAATAATATTAACAAAAATGGTTTAGGAATAAAAGTGAATATTTTATTGTGGATCTCACATTTGAATTTATTAAAAGTGAAGAAAGTTATTTAAAATTGGAAGAAATTTACTTGAATAAGACAAAGTTTTAAGCAACCAGCGAGACCCATAATAAAATATTAAATTTTATTCTCAAGTAACTCTGATTAAAAACTCTCTTTGGAGATGTTCTTAGAATTTCAAAACGAACAATATTTTAAATGTGATAATAGACTCTAATGATGTTATCGTAACAAAAATAAAATCAGGACACTCTTATTCTTAAACAAATATATTGACATTCATTATGGGATTGAAGATAAAGTTAATTTTGTTCTTCTCGTACCCTTAATCTTCAACTTGAAGGTTATATCGTTATATTCTCATAAGTCTCGCATTGCTTAAAAGTCAAAGTCAAGATCAAAGATAATTTATACACGTTATTCCTTCTTAACCCACTTACACCCTTTTTAAAGATAAAATGGTAATGAATTAAAGTTTGAAACCACTCATCATATATGATAATTTATTCTAACAATAAGATAAACATGATTATGGATTTAAAATATACAATATTTCAAATATAATTAATAATATAACATACATTGAGATTGAAACCATTTTAAAAAAATATTTTATTTGAAAACAATAGAATGTAATTTAAAAACATGCCAACTATTACACTACATATAATAATATTCCTTGTGCCTAATATAAAATTTTGTTATATGAAGTGGTACACTATTAAGAGTAGTTAATTAGCAGAAAATATTTGGAGAATAAAGGTTGGCCACTATTATAAATTTGAAGATTATAATCGATAACTTTTATTAACAATATCATTCAATTATTCAATATGGACCTACTGTACCACAAAAGGTACACAATTTTTGGTGCATTATTGCTGTTAGGGACTCATGCATGTACCGTTAATTTAAAATTTGGCCACTTTGTATTTACAATTAAGGACATAATTAACAAATTTATGCTACATTAAAGTAATTGCAAAAGGTTGATTTTTATAAAATGTTAATTTGTAATACAGTTGGAGTCAGCTTTTGCTTCTCCAATAAAAGTCATCACTTTTGGAGCACCACAAAGTTATCTCCCTCTTGCAAATAAAAATCTATCACATAAAATATCCAAGTTAATTAAATAACTAATATTACGATAATATACTTAATTGAGTTGTACGTTTCATCATTTTATTATAATTGTTTTGTAAATTTTATCATTTGTTTACATATTTTATTATTGTTATATTTTTAATTTTTGTATAGATTATTATTCTGTTAAATGTGTAACATATGTGGACGCGTTTCTAAAAAGATTAAAAAAATTAAATTATTTTTCATAATAAAATCGCATCGATTTACACAATTTTACAACGTTATTGGGCATATAATGTGCACCTATTTTAATTCTCCATGAAATATTCACCCTTTATTTTTTTTATTTGTTATTTAATGTTCTAGAAATTAAAATGTTTTGAAATAAAAATGGTAATAAATATATTCACAAATATAAAAAGAGATAAGAAAATTTTAAAGAATACTTTTTAAATCACTCTTGTCTACATTTTAAAAAGTGTCTTTAAAATATATATATATATATATATATATATATATATATATATATATATAGATATTGTAAATTAATTTTTGGAATGTTGAGAAAATAAAAAAAATTGCAAAGTATTTTTTAAATGTTAAAAAATAAAAATACGTTTTACAAAATATATTATAAAATGTAAAAAGATAAAATAGTACTTCAAGAGATTTTTTTTAACACTCTATTTTTATTCGGGAATGTATTTTTTAAAATATTTTTTTTTTTATAACATTAAAAAAAAATTATAGTGTTCCAAAACTTAAACACTCTTATCACTTTCACATTTTTAAATGTACTTTTTTACATATATATTAGTTTCTTAACATTTCAGAAAACATTTTATTTCCTTAAAAATATTAAAATTACTTTATAAAACTTCAAACAAGAAATAAAACATAAGGATAATTCATTTTAAATAAAAGAAATAAAAAAAAAAGTGTTTTAGTTAAAAAAAAAAAAAAAGAAGAAGGTGTAAATAATAGGAGCCTCAAGTATACTGTAGTTTGGGCTTATAGAAGTAACAATTTCAGCCCAGAGAAAAATAGAAACATTACCCAACCCAAATTCATTCAGCTCGATAGTAAATAGTTCAATTAGTTTAGTTTATCACTATTTTTTTTTAACACACTTTGTAATAGGTTCTATTTTATTGAAAATAAACTCCTTAATAATTTCAGTCACAAATAATAAAGAAGATAAATCCGAAAAAAAATTATTCTAATAGGAGACTACAAAAGAAAGAGTCCCCAAATTTTATAAACCAATATTTTTTTTCAACTTTATAGATTAAATTAGTTGTTATATATATATATATATATATATATATATATATATATATATATATATATATATATATATATATATAGTAGAGAGAGAGAGAGAGAGAGAGAGACCAAATTAAAAAATTTAAAATACATTAAAATTGTAGAAATAAAAAAATACGTATAAATGAAAGATTAAACCAGTAACGTTTAAAAGTAACACATAAAACATAATTGAATCTAACTATATATTGATATGTATAGCATTAAAAAATATTTATGTATTACTGTAAAAAATTATATTTAATTATATTTTCACATTAATAAGTATTGTTAAAAACAATTTATGTAAAGAAGAATATATATTTAATTTTTATCTTATATATTTATCAGGTTAATGATGGTGATAGTATTACAAATGAAAGTAATAGTGATTGCGTCAATTTTAAAAACTAAACAAAGAAATGTGAAACTAGGTTTAAGTTTTCACATTTTTTTCTATTATATTTCTCTTTTTTTATTGTTTCTTGACAACTTAAAAGTATTATTTGTTATAATTATAATGATTTAAAATATATTCATAAATTTATTTTAAATAATAATATAGTTTAGTGAATATCTAAATAAAATACATATTTTAATTAAAAAAAGAGAGAGAAAATAAAATTTAAAATGAAATAGAATAAATTAAATATATTATCTAATTTTAAATATTTGAATAAAAATATAACATTTAAGTTGAGTGTTCAATTAGAATCAGTAAACCTAACAGGTGTGACTTTATTGTGGAAATAAATAAAGTCCAACCTGGTTTGAAGTGGAAGGTGCATCTTTGCATTAAATTCAAACTTCATTTCTGTCCCATAAATGGGCACTCCAAAACAGTTACATCTACATGCCTTAATCAGGCGCCATTCATGAGTACGTGTACGACACACCCACATTCGTAACATTACGTTAGGTATAAAGTTTCCATTTTTAAGAACATAAATCTCTAATAATATCATTCATTTAATCACGGTTTTTTCATAATATTTTATTAATTGATTTTACGCGCTTATATTAACTATTATTGAAGTTACTTTTCAATAACCCTTAAGATATTTCATATTATTTTTAAATTTTTTTTATAATAATCAAGTTAGAAATAAAAAATTGTGGACCCCACATCTAACTTGTATTAATTTTCTTGAAAAGATCACCTACCATATCACTATCCAATCCAACGCACCCAACCCAACGAAGAATATTGTATTTAAAAACACTTTCTTTAACTTACACTTATACACTGACTCTCGAACGCAGAAGCAAAACGACAATGGCTTCCCAAACCCAAGAGCCAAATCTACCGTTCAAAACCCGAATTAAAGTATCCTTTCTCTCTGCCCTAACGGATTTCGCACGTCGCAACGACGGCACCATTAATCGTCGTCTCATGAACCTCCTCGATCGCAAGTTTCAACCAAGCGTCAAACCCATTAATGGCGTTTCCAGCAAAGATGTTACCGTTGACGCCAACCGAAACCTCTGGTTCCGTGTCTTTACACCTGTCGACGCCGCCGCCGGAGGCGGCGGCGTTCCCGTTGTCATTTTCTTCCATGGAGGCGGCTTCGCCTTCCTCTCGCCGGACTCGTTCGCGTATGACGCCGTGTGCCGGCGGTTCTGCCGCCGAATCCCCTCCGTGGTCGTCTCAGTGAACTACCGCAACACGCCGGAGCACCGGTTCCCTTCGCAATACGACGACGGCGAGGACGTACTCAAGTTCCTCGATGAGAACCGCGCGGTGCTCCCGGAAAATGCTGACCTGTCAAAGTGCTTCCTCGCCGGCGACAGCGCCGGCGCGAATTTGGCACACCATGTGGCAGTTCGGGTGGCCAAGTCAAAGTTTCGGGAAGTTCGGGTAGTCGGATTGGTGTCGATCCAGCCGTGGTTTGGCGGGGAGGAACGGACGGAGGCGGAGGTGAAATTAGAGGTGGCGCCGTTGGTTTCGTCGGCGAGAACCGATTGGCTGTGGAAGGCGTTTTTGCCGGAGGGGTCGAATCGCGACCACGGCGCGGCGAATGTTAGCGGCCCGAATTCGGAGGACTTGTCGGGTCTGGATTACCCAGATACCCTTGTGTTTGTGGGTGGATTTGACCCGTTACAAGATTGGCAAAGGAGATATTGTGAGTGGTTGAATAAATCAGGAAAAAAAGCAGAATTGAAGGAGTATCCAACTATGATTCATGCTTTTTATATTTTCCCTGAATTGCATGAATCGTCTCAGTTGATCTCAGAGGTCAAGGATTTCATCACCACCAAAATCTCTACTTTGAAATGATCTTTGTTGGGTTTAAATATGTAAAGATTTCATCACCCATTCATCACCTCAACCTACCATGTTGACCTCTACTGTAAGATGATGCAACTTTTTGCTTTTAAAAAATTATAATACGTAGTACATGTATTTCTAAAAGTTTATTACCTCTTAGATTAGGATCCAGGGTTTTCATGATGATGATTAAGTTGTGCTTTTTTTGTTAGTAATTATGTTTTTTTTTTTAATGAAATTTATAGACTTTTTTCTTGTTTTTCCTTGATTATTTGAAAATTAATTAGCCATCAATTTCAATTTAATAATTTTTCTTTTTGTATATTAATTCTTATCAATTTTAGCTCAACAAATATTTGCTGTACAGAAAAAAAATTTAACAGGGTAATTATTAACCCATTATACAAATTAATAAACAAGATAATTATATTTTGTATAAAATATCACATTAATCATACGCTAAAATTTGATCAGATTTATAATAAAGTATATTATTTATTATATGACTAATAACCATAAAAAAAATAATAGAGTCACGGATTATTGTAATTTTATATGAAGTTGATCATGCTTTATGGATGAAGTGAAGAATTATAATTATTGTTGATTAAAATAAAATTTTTAAGCCTTTTTATGTAAAAAAATGTATTGTTATTAATATAATATAATTCGAATTGTTTTTAAAATCTATTTTGTTCTTCAATTAAAATTATCGGGAAAATAACAAAATTTATAGAAAAGGAGAAAATCGTGAATCTCTTTTTCGTGTACGTTATAAACTATTAATTGATTGAAGTAGGAGAGAGAATGAGGTACAACATCATTTATTTTACTGATGTACCTGTTGAGGGTATTTCATTATACTGGGTGGGTTAATCCTACCAAAAAGAAATTAGTTTTGATTATAATTAAACATACACTATTAAAACGGGTTCAATGTAATTCAACTTGTTTGATTTTTTATCTCACTAAACATAAGGTTTTATAAATTATTGTTAAAATAATAAATGTGTAATCTGTTTAATCTCTTTGAATTTATGCATTGTAATCTATATAATCACTTAATTAAAGTAAGAATTTGATTTTAGAAAAATCGATTTTTGAACGAGAATGTATCACGTAATCATACAAATCTTTCCGAAAAATCTGAATTGCATGTTTTTTTTAGCAGTTTATATTTATATATATATATATATATATATATATATATATTTACATATTTATATAGTTAAAAATTATCATATTAATATATTTACATATTTATATAATTATATATTAACATATGTTAATATTTTAAATATTTATATGTTTGTATATATATATAATTATATAATTAAATATTAATATATGAATATAATTATATAATAAAACATTTTCATATGTTTAGATAATTAAATATTTATATATGTAAATATATTTATAAATATTAAAATTTATTTAATAATTGTATATTTATATATTTATTAATAAATTTTATTATTTAAAAATATATTTACATATATAAATACTTAATTGTCTAAACATATAAAAATATTGACGTATATAAATATATTCATATATTAATATTTAACTATGTATATTATGTATACAAACATAAAAATATTTAAAATATATAAATATAATAATTTTTAATTATATCAATATATAAATATGTAAATATATATAAGCATATAAATATTTAAAATATATTAATATATAATTATTAAATTATTATCATATATAAATATGATAATATTTAATTATATCATATATATATATATATATTTTAAAATATATAAAAATATAAACTGTAAAAAAGAATTGTAATTCGATTTTTCGAAACCAAATTCTGGTTTCAACGTGAGACATTCCAATTCCTCCATAATCGAATTCTAACGTTATTTCAAGTCTATTATAAAATAAGTGAAATTCAATATTCATAAATAATAAAATTTTTTAATATTATTTCGAAAAAAATCCCTCAACTCTATTGTTGGTGTTAACAAATTTGTTGGTAGATTAGAGCACACAAACTGTCGAAAGAACAAAACTTTTGTATTACTATGGTAACTATAGAGCCACAAAGAAGACAAACAAAACCACAATGTTGTTTAAAAATGGCATGGAGGAACCCGAAATATGCACCATATTTGCAACATTGATCAATTCAATCGGGAGATTTTCTTGTTGATGAAATTCTTGACTTGTGAGATCAATTGAAAGGACTCGGGCAAATCATGGAACACATAAAAGGCATGAAACATCTTTGGATACTCAATCAATTCAACCGATTTACCCGATCTTTTTAACCATTCATAATACCTCCTTTGCCAATCTTGTAACGGGTCAAACCCACCCACAAACACAAGGGTATCCGGGTAATCCAAACCCGATAAATCCTCCGAATTTGGCCCACTCACGTTCGATGCTCCGTGGTCGCGATCCGACCCGTCCGGCAGAAATACCTTCCACAGCCAGTCCGTTCTCTCCATCGACACCAGCGGCGCACCATCAAACCTCAACTCTGCCGCCGTCCGTTCCTCCCCGCCGAACCACGGCTGGATTGACACCAACCCGATGACCCGGATTCTACGAAGCCCCGAATTCCTGACCCCGGGTTCCCGGATCCCCACCTTCCCGACCCGAACTGCGACATTGTGAGCCAAATTGGCGCCGGCGCTGTCGCCGACAAGGAAGCACTTTGACAAGTCAGAGTTTTCCGGCAGCACCATGCGATTCTCGTCGAGAAAGTGGAGGATGTGCTCGCCGTCATCGTACTGTGACGGGAAGCGGTGCTCCGGGGTGAGGCGATAGTTGACGGAGACAATGACGGCGGGGACGCGGAGGCATAATCGGCGGCAGACGGCGTCGTAGGGGAGGGAGTCCGGCGAGAGGAACGCGAAGCCGCCACCGTGGAAGAAGACGATGACGGGGAGGTTGCCGGCGGCGGCAGGGACTGTGGGAGCGAAGACTCGGAACCAGAGTTTGCTGTGGGCGTTGACGATGACGTCTTTGGTGGTAACGCCGTTGAAGGGGGTGGCGTTAGCTTGGGTTTTGACATCGAGGAAGTTCATGAGCCGGCGATTAACGGTGCCGTTAGAGCGGCGCACGGCGTCGGAAAGCGATGACAGAAAAGATATTGAAATGCGTGTCCTCCAAGGAAGAAACTTTTTGAATTTTGCCATTTCTTGTTCTTTGGATTTGTCCATTGTCGTTTCTGCGTTTGGAAGAATGAGTAAAGGGTGAAAAGGGCGAACCGTAGGTGAAGGGTGAAAAGGGCGAACCGTAGAGGAACGACAGAGTGGACCAATACGACGCATATTTCAATTTTTCTGTCGTCGTTTTCCGCTGCTCCTTTGGCGCGTAAAAGGAAAGTGGTCGTTATTTGTCCAATTTTCCAGATTGGCATCAAAGTAGTAGGTAAGCTTGTTGGGTTATGTCAACTTGTCCTTATTTTAAAACACATGTTTATTATAAAAATGAAAAAGGGTATTTTGGTGTTTCAGTTAGAGTGAGAGGTCTAAATAGTAATTAGAGGTATGAATAGTCTTTCATTTAACCACACCTTAAATGTTCTTAGCTCAATTTTAATAAATGGACCCATATGAACCGAGGCCCATCTACGCTTGTGAAAGATATGGTTTGGACTAATATATTCTTTACATTTTGCAATTAGTGAAAGCATATATAATGAATAAACGAATATTACGATAAAAATGGTGGTAAAATTTATTTTAAAATCTAGTTTCAACATTAAAAATATCCTTAATTAATTGAAAATTACTTTATATAATCTTTAAATTAATTATTAAAAATCAATAATTTATAATTATATTGTAATTTATTATTAGACGATGGCCTGATAAATAAATTTACATTTTTTTAAATAATTATTTTAAAATTTGTCTTTGACACTATTACTGATTAATCAATTGTGTAATATTTAGAGATATATATTTTTTATTAAAAAAATCACTATATCTATATATAATCCTTGTCATTCCAAGAAAACGTCATCGTCCTCACTTCGCAGCCACAGAAATCTTTCGTTTCACTATCCGAGTCAACTCACCTCCACGACCAATGGCTACATCCACCAAACCAACCCTTCCATGGAAGCTTCGCCTAATGACTTCTCTCCTCTCCCACCTCCTCAACGCCTCTCGACGCTCGAACGGCACCGTCAACCGTCGTCTCTTCAACCTCTTCGACCGCCAGCTCCCTCCCAGCCCCAGCCCTATCGACTCCGTCATCACCTCCGACGTCACAGTCGACGCCACGCGCAACCTATGGTTCCGTCTCTTCTCCCCCTCGACCTCCACCGCTACTGCTACCCTCCCCGTGATCGTCTTCTTCCACGGCGGCGGCTTCGCGTTCCTCTCCCCGGCCTCAACCGTGTACGATGCCGTCTGCCGCTCCTTCTGCCGTTCCTTCAACGCCGTCATCGTCTCCGTTAACTACCGGCTCACCCCTGAACACCGTTACCCCTCCCAATACGACGATGGTTTCGACGTCGTTAAATACCTCGACGAAAACGGCGCAGCTTTGGGTAACGTTGGGAAGTGTTTTTTGGCGGGTGATAGTGCGGGCGGGAACATAGTTCACCACTTGGCGGTTCGGGTTTGTAAAGAGAGGCTCCGGTTCGTGAGAGTACTGGGATTGGTTTCGATTGAACCGTTTTTCGGAGGGGAAGAGCGAACCGAATCCGAGAACCGTCTCAAGCAAGACCCATTGGTTTCGTTGGATATAACTGATTGGTATTGGAAGGTGTTTTTGCCAAACGGGTCGGACCGTGATCACGAAGCGGTTAATGTGAGTGGCCCCAATGGGGAGGATATTTCGGGTTTGGACTATCCAAATACACTTTTGATTGTGGCGGGTTTTGACCCGTTACAGGATTGGCAAAGAAGATATTACGAATGGTTAAGGAAATCGGGTAAGGATGTTGAAATAATGGAATACCCGAATATGATTCATGGTTTTCACTTGTTTCCGGATTTACCCTCCACTCCTCTGTTTCTTTCTCACGTCAACGATTTCATCAAGAAGCAAGTGGCTGGTAACTAAGTTCCTTTGATTTTCTTGTATTATAATCGTAGTTAGAAGATTTTAATTTCTTGTTAATGATCTTAGTTTTTTAATTTTAATTGTACCAAATCCATATTCAAATCTTATGCCATTATTTTAGATAGCTTATAACTCGATATCATGTGAGTAAAATATAATGAATGAGAAAGTAAATTTATGCTGTTATAATTTTTGAAGATTGAAATTTATAGTAATAAAATTACATATTGGTGATATCTGAAAATTTTAATTAATGAAATTAAATTTAAAACACAAAATTAAGAATGGGGTGTTTGAAAGCAAAGGACATATACTTGTCCGACATGGTTGTTGGGTAATTATATTATATTTATATCTTCCATGTTTTGGTCAAAGACAATTAAATGAGTCGTGTTGGCATTCATCTACTTTGTCAGGGAATCAATCCTTCTCTATCAGACGCGTAGATAGGTCATATAATTTTCACTTAAATCACATTTTCGTAGTATTTTTATATTTTTTTATATTTTTTATTTTTTTTTCACATTATATAAAATTTTTTGTTCAATTTTTAAATTAATCAATCTATTATATTATTGTTTTTATTTTTAACTTTTTTATGTTTTTTAATCATTTTAATTAATTTGATTTTTTTCCGATAAATATAAAATAAGTTTTTCTTTTTTTACATATTTTTTAAAAATATTTTATATCAAATAATTAATATTATTTTATTTTTAATTTATTTTTATTAAATTTTATTAATTATTTTTTTATTTTCATTATTTCTAATTATTATATATCAAATTTTGTTAATAAAATTATTGTATTTTATAAAATTAAAAAATTAATGATTAAATTTTTATCATTTTAAATTAATTAAATAATAATTAATTTATTAAATATTTTTTTATAAATTATATATCTCATATATAAGTATTTAAAAAAAACTTAAAAAATATTTAATTTATATATATATATATAAATTAAATATTTAAATATAATATAATATTATAATATATAATAATAATAATATATTATTATTAAAAGTATTTTATATTTGTCTAAAAAAATATTAATTTTTTTTATGCATATATATTTTAATATAAATATAATAAATTAAAGTATATATTTAATTAATAATTATTATTATTATAAAATTATAATTATTTAATTTTTTATAAAAAATTTATTAAAAATATTAAAATTAATTATTATAAATATAATTAATTTTTAAAAATAATATGAAATAGGATCGGGATAGAAAAAAAAATAAAAATCATGAGAATTTAATTTCTAATTAAAAAAAATAGAGGACAATTAAAAAAAAGTTTGGTTTAAAAAAAAAACGGTCCATCGTGCCTTGTTGTAATCGCTAAGTTCCATTGCATGCTTAATTTACACTCTTGCTTTAAGTGACTATTCTTATTTGACTAAATTTCACTTCTATTAATTCAAATTAGGTTTGATTTCAACTGTAATGATGGTCCATTTGTGTCTTTCTCCTTAACTAAAATTATGTTTCTCTGAAATCTCTCTATTACTTGCGACCTATAATCCGTTGGGCGCAACCGAAATGCGCTGAGCGGATTATTAGATGAAAAATTTGACTTTTAAAAGAAAGAGTGTCGTTCTACAAGTTTTTCTCGTAGGTTCCTCGTTTCTCTCTTTCTCTCAAAACTTTTCTTACCTTCAAACTTGATTTTGAGGGAAAAATCTTGGTTTTCTTGAAGAGCTCCAAGAGGTAAGTTTGTTTCTCTCAATTTCCTCTACATTTCTACCGTTTTATTTTTCAAAACGGTGCATTTTCTATTTTTCTCCTCACTTGGCTCAACTTGAATGGGTGTAGGAAGAATGTTATTGTAGGTTTTACACCTAGAATACTAGAATAATACTTAAAATTGAGGATTAGAAGTGGTTAAACTAAGAATTTTAAGAGCCCTAATTCGTAGGTACTATTTATTGAATTTTTGGGACTTGTGTGAACAGAATTAGGAATTAGTATCTTCATGAAAGTTGTAGCTCTTTAAGTTGTCGAAATTTAGAAACTGATTTCACATTAAATGGATATTTTTAGCTCAAGTTATGCCCATTTTACTGTCAAGTGTTCTAGCTGTGACGTTAAGAGGTAGCCCTGTTTCAAGAGCCTAGGTTTTTGAATTACTGAGATTGATAAGTGTGAAATTAGGACTTGATTTCTTCATAAAAGTTGTAGAAAATTATATCCCCGAAATTTATAAATTTATTTCATGTTAATATCTTATGTGTAGCAAGAGTTATAATCTAATTACCAAGGCATGTTCAGAGTGTTATTGTAATTGAGCCTAGTTGGAAACAACCACTGAAAACTGAAAACTGCATCTATTCTATAGGGTATTTGAATTTATTTCCTTCATCAATATTGTAGGTAATTAAGGTATTGAAATTTTGGCTCAAATCTCATGCCAAAACAACTTATATACCTCTAGAAAATTTTGAAATACTGAACCTTGTCCATGGTTGCTATTAGGATTTTTCCTACTCTAAGTGTATACAAAATAGGATAATTTTCTAAGTTAATTGTAAGCTTAATGTGAGCTTAAAATATTATTAAAAATGGATTAGCAATACAAAGTGAATTTAAATTCTCATGAGATAGAATCATAGAAATATAAGATTCTAACTAGCATTTTATTATGTATATAGATTTTGCTGAAACACAACATCAAGCTTTGAAAGGAATAAGTGTGAACGTATCAAGTAAGGGGTGAGCTATTGTTTCTGGTGGAATTTCGATCGATTTCGACTCTTAAGATATTTTGATCCTAATCAAAATTCTACCACGTAAGTTCTTTTTACTTAGGCTAGCAAATTAATTTTCAATCGAGATGCGTATGAGGATCGAATTTTGCCCGATTTTGAAGATACTATTTTTGGTGTTTTATATTTAAAGTGCTCGAAGTAAAGAAAGCAGAAAATTCGTGGAATCGAAAAGCAGTGCTGAACATTAGATTGCAAAGAAACGTAACATGCAGAAATCTTAAATTTGCTTTAAGCATAAAAGACAGGGAATCAAAACAGCAGAACTGTAAATAACAGGAAGTATAAATGACAGTAAATCAAATGTGCAGAAAGTATAAATAACTTGGAAATCGAAATTGCATTAATGTTAAATGACAAGAAAACTTAAACGCGGAAACTTAACTTTCATTGAATTGAAATGACCAAAAATCGAAAGTACAAAAACATAAAATTGCTAAAGATAAATTGCATCAAAGTAAATTACCAAGGAAAATACAGAAAACGGTAAAGGTACTCAATGAGCATGGAAATCCAGATTGTCAGAAGCTTCATGATGTTCGTCGTTTCTCCGGTAGACTTCTCACTAATGATTCTGTTCTCTGCCAATTTTCTGTCCCCCTTTCCTTTCATCATTTGCTCTATTTATAGTGTCCTTTCAAGTAGTCTCTTAAGAGCAGTTAACGAAGACTACTACCACGTTCTCTGTGCACGTCTTTTGCAGTTTTGTTCCTAGCTCTGCGGTTTAGAAACTGTATCCACGTTCCCATGAATGAGGTAACCGCTCCCTTGACCTTCGACTTTTGCTACCGTTTATTATGTTCGATGTATACGTCGACCGTTCTTCTTAGCAAAAATTTCGATATTCACGTATATTAGCCTTTCCTTCGATTTTAGATTTCGCAACTTCGAGAATTTTGGATTTGCTAATGGGCGTTAAGCGTTATTCCCTCGATTTTCGATTCCAACTCTCGATATGTTTTTGTCTTTGCGTTTACCAGGTGTTTTAGCAATTGCATCGACTTGTTAATCCCTTGTATAGTTCTCGATTTTTTGTTTCCCTTCACTTTCTCGATCCTTTTATAGATTTCTCACTAACAAAATGCCCCCTTGGAAGAATATAAGTAGTTTCCGTTTATATTCTTTCAACACGATTCCCGCTTTCGCTCGTTGGAGGCCCACAATAATTTAGGGTTTAGGGTTCCTGGGGTTTTAGGGTTTATGGTTTTTAGGGTTTCTTTTTGCTTTATGTCACCGTCTCGTCAGTCTGCTGCCTTGCAGTACAAGCCACATTAATTGTTTTTGCTTCCGTCATTTCCAGCACCCTAGGTAGCTTTCCCCTTAAACTCTATTAGTTTTTTACTCTGGTTTTTACGCGAATCTTTTACCTCTTTGCGACTTCGTCTTCTTCCTTGAGCTCTTGCCTTCGTCCTTGCTACCCCACCTTTTAACCTCTATCATTTTGCTTTCCTTAGCTTATTGAAATGGCAACCTCGTCTAAGTCTTCTGAATTTTCGGCTCCACCTCTTCCTTCGCTAACAGCTAACCTTCTGGAGATCAATAGCCAGAAGTTTGCTCCAGTCCCTCTTATGGAGGAAGCTTCTCAGAAAGTTGCTGAGACGCAGATACTCATTCCTTACACTGCTGATGGTGTTAATTTTGGTTTTGGGGGTCCTATTCGTTCTAGTAGTGGGACTTTTTCTTCCTTCACCCTCTCGAATAGCCCAACACTTATTCACCACCCTGAAGTTCAGATTAATTTTTTGACTATGGTCTCGAGAGTATACCGAACGGGTCCTCCTTCCAAAAAACCTTCTTTTATTAGGTGGTTTGATAGAGTGGAAGCCAAGTTTGGGAACCACTAGAGAGATGTAGGGATTTTTGATTTTTTACACCTATCTCGATGCGACTTGTTGTTTTTGGATATGGCAATATTTTTGTCTGCGGTGCATTTGTGGAATAAGGAATTACATGCTTTGGAGTTACCCTGTGGTCCCCTTTCACCTACTCTCTTTGAGGTTGCTGCTATAACCGGACTAAAACCCACTGGGGAAAAGTATTATAAGGGTGCTTACCCTTCGGATAATTCTTTGAGGTCTAAAATCGATTGGGAATCGAAGGCCTATGGACATTTCCTTGAGAAACATTTCGTCGATGATGAATCGATAACTGTGACTGACGAAGAACATATAGCCTTTTTGGTGTATTGGCTATGTACCCATGTTTTCTGCCCCCGATCCATC